GGAGAGGAGCACTACACACTGGGGTCTGTTGGGGGGAAATAGGGGAGGGTCAGCGGGGGGGGGGGAGTTGGGGAGAGATAGCATGGGGAGAAATGCCAGATATAGGTGATGGGGAGGAAGGCAGCAAATCACACTGCCACGTGTGTACCTATGCAACAATCTTGCACATTCTTCACATGCACCCCAAAACCTAAAATGCAATAAAAAAAAATAAAAATAAATAAATATTTTTAAAATGTTGTTTTGTATGTTATATCAACATTTAATGGTTTTTATTACTATGTAATGAAAAAAAATTTCAAAATTTTTTTATTTTTTAACTTTAAGTACTTACATAAAGAAAAAGTCTTAGAGATCTTATATAAAGTTAAAAAATGTAAAGGGATGCTAGACCCCAAAATATTTAGAACTTCTCATTTAGAAATATTCAGACTAAGCCACATACAACTTGTTACTTGATCTATTTTCTTTCTTTCTTTTTTGTTTTAGGAGATGAGGTCTCGCTCTGTCACCTTGGCTGGAGAACAGTGGTGCAATCACAGCTCACTGCAGGCTTGAAACCCTGGGCTGAGGATTCTCCTGCCTCAGCATCCTGAGTAGCTGGGACTATAGGTATACATGATGACACCTGGTTAATTTTTAAATTTTTTTTATAGACATGGGGTCTCACTTTGTTGGTTAGGCTGGTGTCAAACTGCTGGCCTCAAGTGACCCTTCCATGTTGGGCTCCCATCCTAGAAATATGATCCACCACAATGAACACTTGTTCAATTTTCTAAAAAAAAATAAACATTTCTAAAGTAAGGCTGTGGGATGATGGCAGGAAGATAAAAGTAGAAAACAGAAAAATAAATTCTAATGATTTATTCCCACATATTCTTTTGACGGCAAGAAGAACTTTTAGTAGTTATGTTTTTTCTAAACAAACAAAAGGCAAATAAACAATGTTGTACAGGAACTTCAATACACACTGTAATATTCTCACTTTTCTGACATCAGTTAGGGAGATTCTTGGTGGTTTACTTAACTATCACTATCAGTATTTTGCTCCTCTGATCATTTTTATCAACTTACTCATGGTTAACTTCTCTCCAAGTCTGTCACATCGTGACACACTGCTGCTACACAAACATGGCCAGGGTCATCCTACTGTACATGTAGAATGCTTCCCTAATTTCTTTTTTTATGCTCTGTCTCTGTGTTTTGCATTTTTCTTACCTTTATTACCAGAAACTCCAGAAAGTGAGTTGTACTAATTTATCACCATTTGCTTCATTAATTTATACTTTGCTTATATGGAATTTTCCCCAACAGCCCTCATTACAATTTCTAACCTGTTGTTTTCTTTTTTTTTCTGAGACAGAGTCTTGCTGTATTGTCCATGCTAGAATGCAGTGGTGCTATCACAGCTGAATGCAGCCATGACCTCCCAGGTTCAAGTGATCCTCCCATCTCAGCTTCCCAAATGGCTGAGACTGTAGGTGTTTGCCATTATGCCCATCAATATTTCGACTTTTCCAGCCCATAGGTTCCAGAGGCCTGACTGTGAAATGTGAGTATGCATGAATTTTGGTATATGCAGAGATGGGGATCTGGAAGTAATCCTCTCTTTATACTGAGGGATGACTGTAGATGTTTTTACAATTATGCTGGAGGACACATATTGTTCCATAGCCTTGAAAATGATAGTTTTAAGGCCAAATAATTAATTGAGTGGAATAATAAGAAAAGCAGCTGGCCAGGTGTGGTGGCTCACACCAGTAGTCACAACACTTTGGGTGGCTGAGGCAGGAGGATGGCCTAAGGCCGAGTCTGAGACAGGCCTCAATGACAAAGAGAGTCACTATCCCGATGGAAAACTACATGAATTAGCCTAGTGTGGTGGCATGTGCCTGTAGCCCCAGCTACTTGAATCCAGGGAGGCTGAGACTGCAGTGAGTCATAATGAGGCCTCTGCACTCCAGCCTGGGTGACAGAGTGAGACCCTGTCTCAAAACAACAAAAAACTAGCAGCTAACATTAACTGATCTTTTACCAGGGGCCTATAAATACCATAGTTCAATTTCTTATAACTATTTATTTCACTTAACCTGTCTTAAATTACTCCCAGATTTTCACTGTTTGTGCAGTTGACCTTTGGTTTAGATTGAATTGTCTCCCAAGGTATTTCCAGAAGTGAGATTACTGTGAGTTATGGTGAATGGTCATTCTCATTGCCCCTGATATAAATTGACAAGGTTTTGGGTGCCTCCCAGCTATAATCCCAGCACTAAGGCTAAGGAGGGAGGCTAAGGCAGGAGGATTGCTTGAGGCCAGCAGTATGATGAGACACTGTCTCTATTACTTAAAAAAATTGCCAAGCTTTACCTTGGAAGGGTTATATACAATTTAAACACCCCCCATAGTATAAGAAAGTGCCCATTTCACTGTACCTTTACCAGCACATGATATTATACTTTAATAGGTTATTTTATTATTTTAAATAGATAAAAGACCTCATGTTGCTTTATTTATTTGTCATATTTCAACGTTTTTCCTTATCTTAGCTTATTAGCTTTATTTTTCTGTCTGTAAATGGTTGTCTTTGTTATTTTGTTCTTTGAGACAGGGTCTTGCTCTGTCACCCAGGCTTGACTGTAGTGGCATAATCATGACTCGCTGCAGCCTTGACGTCCCAGGCTCAAACTACCCTCCCTCTTCAGCTTCCTGAGTAGCTGGGACCACAAGTGTGCACCTCCACACCCAGCTAAGTTTTTTCTTTTTGCGGATATAGACAGGGTCTTGCTATGCTGCCCAGGCCGGTCTCTAGCTCCTGGCCTCAAGCAATCCTCCTGTACTGGCCCGTTAAGTTGCTGGAATTTCAGGGATGAGCCACCATGCCTGGCCTTGGCCAGTCCTGTATTCTCTAGAGTTCCCTTTACTTTGTGCTAGCTGATCTCTCATTATGCTGTTCCCCTGTTATAATGAATAATTCTCTATATTAAATTTTACCACTTTAAACTTTCGAGTGGTTTATGTCTCCTGTTTGCACTCTAATACAGAGTTGATGCTAGGAAGGGTCCCAGGAGATAGACCCACGCAGATGGGATTTGGGCACAGGTTTGGTTATCCAAGGGGCAGTGCTGAGCTCCTTGCCTATGGGAAATGGGATGCTGGTGATTTCAGGGAGTGACCTTATCATGACTCAAGCTACCACTTACTGTTGATTGTGATGAAATGCCAGCTGAGGCCCATGCTCTGGGAGCTAAGTGGTTGCTGCACTTGACCACTATAATGACTGGTGTGGAAAGGGTCCTTTTGGATGCACTTGAGCAGAGGTCCCCAAACCCTGAGCCATGGAGCTGTAAGGAGCCACACAGCAGGAGGTGAGTGATGTCCAGTGAGGGAAGCTTCACATTCCCGCCTGAGCTCTGCCTTCTCTCAGATCAGCAGCAGCATTAGATTCTCTTAGGAGAACAAACCCTACTGTGAACCAAGCATGCCAGGGATGAAGGTTGCATGGTCCCTGTGAGAATAATGCCTGATGATGTGTCACTTTCTCCTATCACACTCAGATGGGACCATCTAGTCACAGGAAAACAAGCTTAACGTATACTAATTCTAAATTACGGTGAGTTCTGTAATTATTTCATTATCTATTACAATGTAATAATGGAAATAAAGTGCCCAATAAATGTAATGTGCTTGAATCTTCTGGCTCCGCTCCTGCCTCCCAGCAGCCTCTCCAGACCCAGAACTTTTTCCATGTCTCTACAGACCAAACTCATGGCTCGCAATGGCCTATTTAGGCACATACCCTACCTCATGGTAGTCTTCACAGTTGAGGCTACTGCCTCACGGCAGCCTCCACAGGCCCAGCTCTTCCCTTACAATGGCCTCTTTAGTTCTAGCTCCTGCCTCTTGGTGGCCTATCCGGGACAAAAGTGTCCACAAGTCAGCCTCTCAAGCCCCAGATCTTCCTCCCAGCTGTGCCTAGAGGCCCAGCATCTGCCTCACAACAACCTTTCAGCTCAGCTCCTGCCTAGCTCCTGGTGGCATTTTTAGGCCCAAAACTGCCTCAAGTAAAGCTCTCCAAGCCCACCTTCAGCCTCTTAATGTCTTGGACAGGCCCAACTCCTAAGTAACAGTGGCCTCTCCAGGCCCAGCTCCTGTCCCCTGACAGGCTGTTCAGGCCCAAAACGTCCTCAAGTCAGCCACTTTAGGCACAGCTCCTGCCTCCCACTGGCCTCTTCAGGCCCAGCTCCTGCATCTTGGTGGCTTCTCCAGACTGACAACTTTCTCAAGTCTGCCATTCCAGGTCCAACTCCTGCCTCCCATCGGCCTCTACAGACCCCAACTCTGCCTCACAGCAGACTCTCCAAGCCCAGCATCTGTCTCACCGCAGCGCCGCCAGGCCAAGCTCCTGCCTTTCAGCAGCCTCGACAGGCCCAGGTCCTGCCCATGAACAGGCTCTCCTGGCTGGAATCTTCCTCAAGTTGGCAACTCCAGGCTTAGCACTTGCCTCACACTGAGCTCTTTAGGCCCAGCTTATGCCTGTTGCAGCCTCCCCAGCCAAAGCTACTGCATGCCAGCAGCCTCTCTAGCCCCAGCTCCTGGCTCCCATCTGCCTCTGCAGGCCTGACCTCTGCCTCACAGCAGACTCTTCACGTCCAGCATCTGCCTCACCATGGCCCCACCAAGCCAAGCTCCTGCCTTTCAGCAGCCTCTACACGCCCAGTTCCTGCCACCCCATGGTCTCTTTAGGCCAAGATCAGGCCTCACGGGTGTCTTTCCAGATGAAGATTTTGCCTTATGGGAACTTCCCTGGCTAGGGGGCTGCCTGTTCCCTGGAAGCCTGGATAGGCCCAGGTCCTGCCTCATACGGGCATCTCTGTGCAAAACTTATGACTCACAATGGCATCTCCAGCTGCAGCTTTGGTCCCGGGACGGCGTCTCCAGGCACAAAACTTCCTCAAGTCAGCCTCTCTAGGCCCAGTTACTGCCTCCCGGTGGCCTCTGAATGCTGAAATCCTTCTCAAGTTGGCCTCTCCATGCCCAGCACATGCCTCCCATTGGCCTCTAAAAGCCCAGCCTCTGTTTCATTGCAGATTCTCCAGGCCCAACTCTGTCTTGGCTGAGGATACAGGAACATCTGCTGCCTCACAACAACCTCTTTTGGCCCAGCTCCTGACAATTTGCCAAGGGCCACTATGCGCCCAAAACGTCCTTAAGTCAACCACTCCACCCAACTTCTCTCTCCCAGTGGCATGTAAAGGCTCAGCTTTAGCATGAAAAAGGCCTCTGCACCACCTACACTTTACTTCTGAAAGACTTTTGGAGGTCACTTTGGGCCCAGATCATGCTTCTCCTTTCATGGCCTCTCCAGGCCCAGGTGCTGCCTCCCAACATTCTTCCGGGCCCAGCTCTTCCTCCTGGCTGCGTCTACTGGCCCACCTCCTTCCTCGCCTTGCAACAACCTCTGTGGACTCAGCTCTTGCCCAGCTCCCAGTGGCCTCCGTAGGCCACAGCCTTCCTCACATTGGGTGTTCCAGGCCGATCCTCTGTATCATGTCTGTCTCTCAAGGTGCAGCTTCTGTTTCATGGTGGCCTTTTTTAGTCGAACTCCTGCCTCGCCATGGCCTCTTCAGGCTTATCTTCTGCCTCTTAGTGGACACTCAAGGCTCATCTCCTCTCTCATGGTGGTATTTGTGTCCTGCACTTGCCTTTCAGTGGCCTCTTCTGGATCCAGCTCTATAGGTGTTTGATTGTCAACTGCATCCTGAAGCCCAAAGCGTCCCTGAACTCTCATGTGTTCACTTCCTAGCAGCATGCCTTAGCTAAAGGCCTGCGTCTACTTTTACCTTGAGAGTGGATTTCTGCCAGATTTGTAGCAAATTCTGCCTGTGTCTTTTTACAGTGTTGTCTGCTTTACTGAATGTCTTATGGTTTTTCCTGTTTTCTGAGGGTTTGGAGCGGACTGGGCCTCTGCTTGGGCTGTTTGTCTTTGCCCTGGACATGGTAGCTGCTGATTTCATGTCTCCTTTTTGTATATTTTTTACAGTTAACTTTTGTTTTTCTTATAGTCTTGCTCTGTCACCCAGGCTTGGGTGTCATCGTGTGATCATGGCTCAGCTGCAGCCTTGGCCTTTTGGCCTCCACTGATTTCCCAAGTCAGCATCTTCACTAGCTGACACTACAGGCAGATGCCGCCATTTCTAACTAATTTCTGATTTGGTTTGAGAAGCTGGTTCTCACTCTATTGCTTAGGCTGGTCTTCTTTTTTTTTTTTTCTTGTTTTTTGAGACTGAATCTCACTCAGTTGCCCAGTCTAGAGTGCAGTGGCAGGATCTTGGCTCACTGCAGCCTCAGCCTCATGGGTTCAATTGATTCTCCTGCCTCAGCCTCCTTAGTAACTTGGATTACAGGTGTGGCCACCACACCTGGCTAGTTTTTGTATTATTAGTAGAGACGAGGTTCCACCATGTTGGTCAAGCTGGTCTTGAACTCCTGATCTTGTGATATGCCCACCTCGGCCTCCCAATGTGCTGGGATTACAGGCATGAGCCACCGCACCCAGCCTAGACTGGTCTTAAACTTTTGGACCCAAGTAATCCTCTTGCCTGGGCCTCTCAAAGTGCTGAAATTACAAGCATGAGCCATCATCCATGGCCTGTCCTTTGCTTACCATGAGGTATTAAGAATTTATTCTTTGATTGATATACTATGATTATATACATTTATGAATATGTAGATATTTTAAACTTTTCTGGGATACCATTTTTTTCTTTTCTTTTCTTTTCTTTTTTTTTTTCAAGGCAAGTTACTGCTTCATCATTCAGGCTGAAGTGCAGTAGTGTCAGCTTGGCTCACCACACCTGTGCCTTCTTGGCTTAAGTCATCCTCCCACCTCAGCCCCCTGAGTAGCTGGGACTCCAGGTACGAGCCACCATGCCCATCTAATTTTTATATTTGTTGTAGAGATGGGGTCCCACCATGTTTCCCAGACCTGCTACAAACTCCTGGGCTCAAGTGATCCTCCCCCATCAACCTCCTGCTGTGCTGGGATCACAAGTGTGAGCCACTACACCTGGTCTGCAATTCTCTTTTCATGGATCATTAAGAAGTTACCTTTTAATTAGTATACTATAAATATATATGTATGTATGTGTGTGTATATTTATATGTGAATATATGTGTGTATATATTTACATAACATACACACACTCCCACATATGCATTGTGAGAGATATTTCCATACGTAGAAATCGATAAGCCTCTTCCAGCTTTTGAAACCACCCTTATCACAAACACGAAAGAAGTACAAAGTATTGTTATTAACGACCATGGACCAAGATGACCATGAGTCAATAGTACTTTGCACCTCAACCACCTTCCAGCAGAGCATCTCAAAGGGATGAATATATCTGGACATCATACCCTTTCACATAGATTGGGATGCTTTGCAATTATTACTTCTCTTGAGACCTCAGTGGGAACTCATCAGTGTAAAATCAGAAACTATTTCTCAAATCATAGAGATACTGAATAACAGCTTTGGTCAGGAAATAGGTATTGCATTTGGTTAGTCATGACAAGCTCCTGGCCTAGGAAGATAGAATATTGCAGAAAGAGAGAGAGAGAGAGAGAGAGAGAGAGAGAGAGAGAGAG